CCCGATCCCCCCCGATCCCGATCCTGATCCCCGTCCCCTTCCCCCGTCCCGGCCGCACCATGGACTGTTACACGGCCAACTGGTACCCGCTGGGCGAGGAGGCCTTTTACCGGTGAGAGACGGCGGGGGCAGCGCTGCCCGAACCGGGGCCGCTCGGAAGCCCCGGGGCTGGGTGGGAGCGGGGTCCCGGCGTGGCCGTGGGTGCTCGGGCGGGCTGGGAGGGGGGTCCCAGGGATGCTCGGGGGTCCCGGCGGTGTTGGGAGCCGTTCCGGGGCTGGGGGGGGCGGTCCCGGAGGGGGGATGCGGGGGGGGTCTGGGGGGGTCCCGGAGATGTGGGGGGGAGTCCTGGGATGGGGAGGGGGATCCCCGAGGTGTCTGGAGGGTCTCGCGGCTGCTCGGAAGGGTCTCGGCATGGCCGTGGGTTTTGAGACCAGCTGGGAGGGCGGTGCTGGGGGTGGTTGGGGGGTCCCGGGGCGGATGGGATGGGATGGGATGGGATGGGATGGGATGGGGTGTCCGGGGGATCTCGGGGGTGCTCAGGCGGTCCCAGGGCAGGGGTCTCGGGGCTGGGAGGGGGGTCTCGGGGCTGGGAGGGTGGTTCGGGGCGTCCCGGGGTTGGCTGGGGGGGTCCCACGGTGACCGTGGGTCTCCCGGATGGTCTGGGGGGGGTCCCAGGGCTGAGTGGGGGGTCCTGTGGTGGCTCTGGGTCCCGGGGCTGACTGGGGGTGTCCCGGGGGTCGCTGGGGGTCCTGTGTCCAGCTGGGGGATCCCAGGGTGTCCGTGGGTCTTGGGGCTGATCTGGGAGCTCCCGGGGCCCGTCGGGGGTCCCGGGGCTGGCTGGGGGGTGGGCACCGTCCCTGGCCCCCCCATCCCTCCTCCTGTCCATCCATCCCTCTCTCCATCCCTGTGTCCGGGTGTCCCGCAGGAAGCTGGAGCTGTACTCCATGGAATGGGGGCTGCGGGAGGACCTGCGGGACTGTGTGGTGGCCGCTGCCCCGTACGGGGGGCCCATAGGTGGGTGCAGCCCCCCCCCGGACCCCCGAATTTTTCCCCCCCCAGCTTTGCTGACGGACTGTCCCCCCCCCCCAGCCCTGCTGAGGAATTCCCGCAGGGACAAGGCCCCCAGCTCC